CATTCAAACTCATAAATCGAAAATGAACTGACAACGCTATGGCTAAAAAAGGAAAAAGACAAACAATAGTACACAAAACACAACATAGAAAACTAAAGACAAAGCAACACGAACCCCACCAAAAACTGGGAGTGATCTCAGGTCCAAACTTGGCCACAATCATCATTGGGTTGGCCACAATCATCATTGGGATATCTAGTTTAAAAAATGTGTCCGGTGACCCGCCCAACCAACCAAGATGGCCGCCATGGCTAAAAATAGAACATAGGGGTAAAATGTAGATTTTGGCTTATATCTCTGAAACCAAAGCATTTAGAGCAAATCTGACATGGTGTAGAATTGTTTATCAGGTCAAGATCTATCTGCACTGAAATTTTCAGATGAATCTGACAACCCGTTGTTGGGTTGCTGCCCCTGAATTGGTAATTTTAAGGAAATTTTGCCGTTTTTGGTTATTATCTTGAATATTATTATAGATAGAGATAAACTGTAAACATCAATAATGTTCAGCAAAGTAAGATCTACAAATAAGTCAACTTGACCAAAATGGTCAATTGACCCCTTAAGGAGTTAATGCCCTTTATAGTCAATTTTTAACCATTTTTCGTAAATTTTTGTAATCTTTTACAAAAATCTTTTCCTCTGAAACTACTAAGACAAATTTAACCAAACTTGTCCACAATCATCATTAGGGTATCCATTTTAAAAAATGTGCAAAAGCCATGGAGCCAGATATGGTAATTGACCTAGTCAGAGAAGCTAGATTAAAAGGTACGAACATCTGTACTATTGTTGGTGATAAGGACTCTACTACAATTGCCAGAATAAGATCTAACGTAGATAAAAACATAATAAAGCTGTCAGACAGTAATCACATCAAAAAACATTAGGTAAAAAACTTTACGACTTAAAAAATAAACATCAATCATTATCAACTAAAGTGATAAATTACGTCGTAAAATGTTTTAATTTCTTGGTGGCACAAGGAAAAGGTCAACCAGAAAAAATTTGTCACAGTCTGCCAGCATTGGCTAAGCATCCATTTGGAGACCACAGTGACTGTCATACTGATTGGTGTAGGTTTATTGAAGAGACTGGACTTAAGTACAGATCATTGCCTTATGGTAAACCGTTGTCTGATAAGGCACTACAGGCATCATTGAAACAAATTTTTTCAAGTTATGCTGAACATTCAAATAAACTTGCCAACTTAGAAAGTACTCAAGGAAATGAGAGTTTCAATAAAACTGTTGCTTCGAAGGCACCAAAGTCAAAACATTATGGTGGCTCAGGAAGCCTTGGTTACAGAATAGCTGCAAGTGTTGTCCAAAAAAATAGAGGTCACATATACACAGTTGATGTAAGAAAATTCAGTTTTGATTTTTTTTAATGCATGCTGTTGGTTACAAAATTAAATTGAACATGTTGAAATACAATTTCTTTCTGGCTTCTGTTCACTGACACAAATTATAAGGCCATCTTGTCATTACTTAGCATGTGTGAAAAGTCTAGTACTATCCAGAAAAGAAAGAAAGGGCTTTGTTATTTAAATGTCACTCTAAGTTTCATGCAGTCCCTATGTTAGAATTATTTACAATTAAAAAAAAAATGTTTATTAGATGTACCCCAGAATGGTCAGTTGTGGGTCAGGGTATTAAAGGTACATTGCATTTCATTGTAAAATATTTGTTCAAGTTCTCTTTCCTTTTTCAGAATATACTGAAATGCATTCTTTTTTATATTTTTTTTCTCCCAAGACCTGGCACTACCCGTATGAAAATTTCAACAGGAGTTCAACTGGACTTTAGCTGGACTTGAGACGTATTCCAGTCTGACTTTGAAAAGTCCAGTCTGACATGAGCCGTACACGTACTTTTTCTTATTCTTGGGTTATTTGCCAGCCGGTATTTTCTTAAAAGTCCAACCGCACTTTTTGTAATGCTTACAAGAAAATAAACACGGCTGGACTTTTGAGGAAATTTATTCCTTTCTGTAGAATGATCAGCAGGTTTTTTGTCTTAGAAAATTTTACATTCATTTATGAGCAGGAATTTAGACTTAGAAAATTTTTATCAGCCAAATCTACCCTTACAGAAATAAAAAGTTTGCCACAATAGATTCTGTTCTTTGAAAGGAACAATTCTTTCAAAATGTAAAACTGTTAAAAATGAAAGTTTGCAAGTAATTAATAATAATGATAAAATATTTTTTTGCAATATACTTTTAGTTCAAACTATAAGATGTGATACTTTCCCTAGATTTTCAATTCCATTATGAAATATTTAACATAGACTGTTGATAGAAAGTTAAAATTTAATTTTGGTGACTTTTGATTGAATTGTATCCAAGTTAATATGTTTAATATACAGCAATTATTTAACATTTCTACTTTTTTCATAAAAAAAAAACACTAGCAACATCTGTTACAGGTCAAATTTATACATTTTCTAGTATATTTATATTTAATTAGATGAATGCATAAAACTAATAATTATCATTCATTCTTTAACATCAATTAGAAACTTGAGCCATATAACAGTGATTTAATAGCAGTTAGTCTTGTAGAAATGTGCCATCTGTTTTCAATTAACCTCAGTCTGGACAAGTCACAGGAAGTACTATCTCCACAGAGATTGAGGCCATATGTGGGATAACACATTTCAAAATACATATTTCTGCAATTACTATCACTTTTATTAAAAATTTCATAATTAAACAAATTAATAATTGATTTTCTTTTTTTATTATATCACATATTGAAAATTAAGGCACATGCAATTAGTCATAAGAGGAACATATTTAAAACAACTCCTTAACATGTTAAACAACCTCGATCATGTATTGCAATACAACAACATTTGAATTTGGAATAAACAGGAAGATGTGTCTTCTTTCTTGAACAAAATGAGAATTTTACATATCATTGGATGTAAAGCAAATGTTTGGAAGTAGTTCTTTTCACAATAAATAGAGAAGATGGATCCTTCTGACTGGCATCAATGACAATTTAGGAAGATTGCTGTTTGCATGTGTTTTGGATTGCATAATTCTGGTAAGTACAATAAATTAAATTCCACCATTTTGGTGATATTATCTGATATGCTCTTTTTATTCAACATATTAATAAAATAATTACAACTTTATAAATAGCTTAATTCTTATTTTTGAAGAGTAAAAAGAATAAAAAACCTACATCAAATATTTATATTCATGCAACAATTTTCATCTTGTCTGTTATGTCACTGTCACTTCCTGTTTTGAATTGTTGTGTAAAAAAATGTATTGTTATATTTTGTATTCCCTCTGTATTAAGGAATGGTTATTATTTGAGTTGTTTTGAAAGTTTTTTTATTTCTACACTTTAAGTGATTTTCAAAGCCAACTTTATTTTATTTTTAGCCACTTTAAAATTATTTAGGCTATTTAATAACCACAAATTTTTAGAAGTTATCATTTAGCTTCTCAATTCCCCATTTCTTGGTTTTGCCAGTAAGACAGTACAAAAAGGAAAAAGAAATAACCAGTATATATGCATAATGTCATCTGTTTTTTTTTTTCTATTTTCAGATTATAGCAAGGGATGCATGATGCAAATTAAATCAGAAGAATTAACTATCTGAAGAAAAACTGAGCAGTGGCGGATCCAGGGGGAGGGTTCCAGGGGTTGGAACCCCCCATTATTTTGACGATCAATGCATTTGAATGAGGACATATGGTTGGACCCCCTTTCCTGAGTAAGGAGCACCCCCTTTTGAAAAAGTTCAGCCGGACTTTGTAAAGTCCAGCTGAACTTTATAGAGTCCATATTTTTGCCAGAAATGCCGGCTGGATTTTTTTTCAGACGTACTTTTATTAAAGTCCAGCTGGACTTTATGAACTGGACTCCTGCTAATTTAAATATTTCGAGCCGGTTTACGGCTAATTTCGCTGAAAGTCCAGCCGGGGTATCTATTATAAGCAATTCAAAGAAAAGTCCAAATGAATATTATTAGTACGGTTCTCAGTACGGCTACAGTACGGCTACTGTCCGACTGGAGTACGTGTCATGTTTTTCATACGGGTATATCTAATTGAATTCAAAACACAAAAGTGCATGATTCTTGGAAAGAGTGGCTCTTGAAAATAGTTTACTTTTTTTTATATTTTTTCAATTCTATTGATTAAATACAGTTATAAATTTTAGAAAAAATATGTTTGTTTTCTTTCTGAAAACACATGAAACTGCTTAACAGCTGTGACAACTGTAATGTGTTGAAAATCATGCATGACTTGTTGAAAGATATGTAATATTTTTTTCATTATCAAAGTTCTTCATAGTCTCTTAATAACTGTTCATTCATGTATGAAATTTTATTACTTTAACTTATGTTTGAAATTAATGAAAATTAATTAACTTACACAAATACATATATGCATTGCAATACAGATGAAATTATATGACACAACATTAAAATAAAACATATATTCTTTTATATAATATTTTATTTTTCAGGCTAATGTATCTGCAGGCCTATCACCCGGGGTCCACACAAAAAAACTGTCCACATTACGGGACTTGCAGGCAAAGAAAAGAAAGGCAATAGCAGTGACAAAGAAAGCAAAACTGCATAGAATCCAGTTGAAGTCAAAGCGGTATAATATTTATTTTATAATTCATTAAAAATGCAGGAGTCAGAATTTCACATTAAACCTGACAGACATGGTGCTGAATCAACCAAACTGCTAAATAACCAGTCACTAAGTGCTCCGAGTGATTTAATTTTTAGAAAAACTAATTGTCCCTGTCCTAAAAATTGGTTTCCGTTCTCCAACTTTAGTTTGCCTCAACCAAATGTGTAATGAAACTTATACACAATGCTTATTACCTTAAAGTTCGAAATTGGGTGGCATCACTTTTACCGTTCATGAGTTATGCCCCTTTATAAACATAAAAATTGCTGAATTTTTCAACTGTTTTCCAACTTTAGTTTGCCTCATCCAAATGTTAAAGACCTATACACAATGCTTATTACCACAAAACACAGATCAAGTTAGAAATTGGGTGGTGTCTCGTTTACCTTTCTTGAGCTATGCTTAGTTATAAATAGAAAATTGGATAAATATGTCGTTCCCGTTCTCTAACTTTAGTTTTCCTCAACCAAATGTAGAAATATATTTCATTAACTTTTAAAAGAAATAAAATGTCAATAATTAGTTCATTAACTCATGCATATTTACAAGCGGTGGCATCTGTGGCCCATAAGACACATTCTCCATTTATATAGAAATATAGTTTTAATAATAAGGGTTCTGCAAATAAAAATTAACACCCAATTTCTGTTTGCTGTAGATTTAATATTTGAATGATCAATCTATTATTATTCTACTACCATGACTAAAGATTATATACTTTTATAAATCTATTTACATGTTGTATCTCTTTCACAGTCACCAAAATACTTCAAGTTGTGAAGTAAGAGAAGGGGTGTGTTATGAAGAGGGCACAGCACTAGGAGTTGAACCGGATATAACAGAAATACCTGCACCAGTTCAAACAGTGACCAATCAGTCAATGCCTCCAAATTTGTCTAGAATATATTTTGACATAGAAGCTACTGGGCTTAGTAAGTATTATATGTTTATCTTGCAGTAAAACATTAAATGTTATTTAGGTCTAAGACAGGGAATATAATGTTGCATTTCCAGCTAAGGGCTATATTCCTTGATCCGAATTGAAAGGGATCTGTTATAAATCATGAATCTAATTCTATCAAAATGTATAATAAACAGATCAATACATGTCAAAATCCGTATAGCATGCTGGATTTTCCTACAGAGGTCAAACCCTGAACAGTTGAGCAAGTATGGACACAACATTTAAGCTTAAAACAGCTCTGAATTTGGATTGTGATTGAATATTTGATACAGCATAGGTTTGTGACACAAAATAAATGTGGTCAAAGAACTGAAAAATTTGAAATTGGACATTTACCTTTTATGATCCAATATCCAAAATATATGTAAATTGCTAGAAACAGCATATCAAGGAACCCCAAGAATTCAATTTTTGATTAAATACTTCTTAGTTAAACCATTTCTGTTCAAAGGGAAATAACTTTATTTCCATGAACCAATAATGTAAATCTAAAATTAGTTATGATTTAACTATAATTCTCTAAAATTAGATATGATTTAATTATAATTCTCTAAAATTAGATATGATTTAATCATAATTCTCTAAAATTAGATATGATGTAATTAGATTTGATGTTATATTTATTTTCAAATTATAATCTAATATAATTAATAGTTTTCAAATAAATCTGTCACTACAATTATAATTGGGTGATTGACAATTAACAGATGGTGTGTTATCTTGATAAAAGATGAAAATCATTTAAAACACTTAGTGTAATCAAACTTTATATATATATCATGTATAAAGTTAATAGTTCCCAATATTTTTTCTTTCATTTGTAACAAACTGATATAGATCTGCAACTTATCTATGAATTTCTACACCTTTATCTACACAATGTAATGTAATGAAATACATGTATATCCTTTAATAAAAATAGATTGTTATCTAATGAATTTGCAAATCTGGAACCCCAAACAGGATCAAGTAAAAATTAAAATTAACACACACAAGAAATATAGCATTCAGAAAATTACTTTATACAGAATAACAAACAAACCTACCACAAAATTCTTCAAACGATTTACCAAAGAAAAGAAAAAAAAAATCCAAAATGTCTTTTATCATTAATACAATGTCTTTTAAAAAATGAGTTATTTCCCTTCGTACAGAAATGGATTAATTCATCAAAATTTGAATTCTTGGAAAAAGGCTATAACTGACTAACGAGAAAAGCTAAAATCGTGAAAATTGAACTTAACCTTCATTTAGTCACAGGAAACAACATATCTAAATTTGAAAAAATTTCTTCAAAGCGTTTTGCATGTAAATGAACAGACACTGTTTGGCAGACACCAACCCGCATGCTGTACATCACCAAATCAATAACCGACTTTTACTTCGAAAATCTGGTTAAAAAAATAATTAGGTATATAACAGTCAACAATGTCTAACAATTGTTCTAAGTAAATTATACGAGTTTTGATATATATTATCACATGCCATTCATTTATGGCTTTAAAACAATTATTATTATTATGCAACACATATTTTTCTATGTTTATGATAAAAAAAAAATCTTTGCAGGTAGAACATCACACATATTACAATTATCTGCCAAAAGGGATGAGGAGATGTATACTTCATTTGTATTACCATCATGCCAAGTAACAAAGAAGGCCGCTGAAATCACAAGAATTACGTTTGAGAATGGTCAGCTCTTGTTTAAAGGAAATGTTATGCCAGCTGTTGGTATCAAAAAGTGTTTGAACGATTTTATTTCTTTTCTTGATAAATCACAAAATAATGTTATTATAGGCCACAATATATGTAATTATGATTGCATGGTATTATATACAGCTTTAGAAAAATGTAGCTTACTTGATAAATTTATGACCAGTATTTCAGGTTTTGTAGATACATTATTATTATTTAAATCTTCTCATCCAGGCCTTAGTTCCTATTCTCAACCTAATTTATTTCAAACATTATTGGGTCAAACTTATGATGCTCATAGAGCTGATGAAGATGTAGATGCACTGTATACACTTGTACATAAAACTGTGGTAAATAATTGTCATTTTGAAAAAGTATACTTGTCAAATAATTTTATATTAGAAAAATACTTATCTATGAAACAGCTTCAGAAAAATCTGCCTTCATTGAAATTGTTAGTTGACAATAAAATTCTGTCTATAAGTATGGCACGAATTATTGCCAAGAGTGGTCTTTCCTTGCAGCATTTGAAGCTAGCCTTTTCAAGGAATGGTGCAAAAGGGATGAGATATTTTTACAGAGCGCTGTGGGTCAGGTGTACGTGTTACAAAATCTCAGAAGATAATTAACAAAGTTTCAGAGTTTTTACAAACACTCTGAAATCTTACAATTTTGCAGATTGTTTAATATTTATGTATGTAATATAAAAGTATGCACATTATCAAATTTCAGAATGTAATGAATTCTTTACATAATTACAAGTTCCTGATATAAATAGGAATGATCAACATAAAAATGGGGTAACATATGGTGCCTGGCTTACTGCTCTTATTATACCCTGTGCAGTTTTTAATGTTTGTTGACCCGTCAGTCTGTTTGTCTGTCAGTCCGTCAGTCTTGTCATCGAAACTCCTATCAAACCACACAACAAAATTTCATGAATCTTTATAGATAATAAGGACATACTATGTAGATGTGCATATCGACAGGAAATTATGATTTAATTTTTGTTCTAGAAGTTATGCCCCTTTGCACCTATTGGCCTAGATATATTACTGCAACAGTTTGTCATCCCACCTCCTCTGAAACCACACAACAGAACTTCATGAAACTTTGTAGATAATAAGGACATACTATGTAAACATGCATATTGACAGGAAATTATGATTCAATTTTTCAATGTATAAATTAGTTTTATGTATACGCCAACCCTAACAGTGGGGGCTTTATTGCATTCACCCTGTCTGTCTGATTGTCCAACAAAAATTTCTGTCTAGCTTTTCTGAGAAACCGTTTAATGTTAGGACTATATTTATTCAGCAGCTTACAGTGATGAGTTCTAAAGCATTTTTCAGATTTGTTGGTTATCTACCTTCTGAATTTCAAAATATTTTGAAAGAATGTGAAAAACTTTACGTTCTATACTTTTTCAAGTACTGATGAATAGCCTTACAGAAAAACTGATTGTTGAACTCTGCTTTTATGAATTTTCATTGTTTTGTCCAAATCCTTATACAGTTAGGTTAATCTGTTTCAAGTTCGAAACTTTATCCACCTATAACTAGGGTGTTTGTACCAATGTCAAATAAATGATGTGTGCATACATGTATTATTAAATCAGGGTCCAGATTTTATTTATACTGTTACCTATGCTGGGACTTAATTATGGGTATAAGTTATAAATAATTGTTATTGCTTGTTCATAATTACATAAAACTTGACAAAGAGTTATCTTACTTGATATATGTTAAATCATTATTTTTGAACAAACCCTGATGATTTGCATTTCTGACAATGGTCATTGAAGAACAATGTTATACTCTTGCTTTAACATAAATAGTGTATTTAATTACTAGATTTATCACTCATACTGAAACGTTCTGTAAACTACTACATTATGTAATAACTTAATCATGTACTTGTAAATTTGGCATCAAATTAAAAATTCTCTATGACCACCATCATAGTAAAATTATTATATTGAAATGAGGCAATATACTCAAAAGAAGTTTTGTTCATGTTAATTATATATGATTTAAGATAAGTTTTAAATTACTACATGTACTTACAAAAGTGATCTTTGATTATTTTTATAAACTGTATAGAGGAAAAAAGTCAAAATTTTAAGATTTTCCCATACTTTTTTATCTAATATTTTAGGTTTTTATAGGCATCATTCAAAATTTTTCATACATGTACCAATCTTTTTTTTTCTCCATAGATCTTAAGAATAAGAGTTAATACACAATTTCTGTAATAACTGTCAATTTCTTGTTAGAATAAAAGGTGCCTTTCAAAGAATTTAGTTGAATGATATACAATTTCCCGTACTTTTTGTAAATTTTTGGCTCAAATTCAAAATTATGCACACAGATATATACTTTTTTCTTTATAAATTTCAAGAATATGATGTAATACACAATTTCTGAAATAATTATTAATTTATTGTTGGTTTAAAAGGTGCTTTAAAAAGAATTTAGTTGAATATTATACATTTTCCCGTACTTTTTGTTATTTTTTGGCTCTAATTCAAAATTTTGCACACGGACCTATACTTTTTTCTTTATAAATTTCAAGATTAAGACCTAATGAAAAATTTCAGAAATTATTGTAAATTTCTTGTTATTTTAAAACGATGTTTCAAAGAGTTTTGTTGGATGTCATATGTTTTCCCGTGCTTTCTTGTTTTTTATGAAATCAAACAGATAAATAACTGTGACAAATGACTTGTTTACAAAAAACTTTGTGTAAAATGAAACAATGACATGTTTTTCAGCATTATCTAAATAAAAAGTGTTCATACTTATTGAAATGATTGTTTTTTGTTTCTTCAAATGTACATATACAGATTTCTGGAAAAGGTAGATTTTTATCAATAAGCCATAATCATGAACAATATAGGGCTGCAGTACGGAAAAATAAGCACACGGACCTATATATTTTTTTAATTTTTTGACTTGCCTATGAATGAACTTTAAAAAAAACCACATAGGAAAACTTTCTTGTTATTTTGAATTTGAGGAGCAAACATCCTTAAGTGAATCACGGGTTTTCTTTCAATATACAAATAAGATGATGTGGTGTGATCAACTATCCTCATACATTTTTACGACTGTACATTGGTCGCCAAGATATTTTACAGCTTTCAATCTAAATTCCTTCTGCCCAATAGAAGACATTCATTGCTTATGTTTTAAAATCATTTATGACTTTTAATTTAATCTATGCTATAGAATTATGTTTGATTACATGGTCTCTGCAATTTCTATTTCGTGAATATCAATGCAGAAAACGAGTATACGGGCCACTTATACAAAATTTAATTGAAGCGATTATGTGCAGCTTAAACCTTAATATTAGTAAGTTTCTGTTAATAAAATTAAATAAACACAATATATATGGACGAGATTCAAGGAATATTTTGTAATTCTTGTGGTGAAATGATTTCAAAGTTACTAGAACGTTAATGAAAACAATTTAACGTTACGCGTAATTGGCTAAAATACCATTGTACCTTGGTCTTTCCTGACGCCCTAGAAAATTATACAAACACAATTACAAGTCTAATGGTTATCATTTAATGAACTACACTAGTAAGTGATCCTTCTGTAGTAATTTCGTCAATTTCTGAGACAGGGCCGTTTTTAACCCTTGGTGGCCCTACTCCTTTATTGTAAATTAAAATTAAATTAAAAATTTAGAAGTTAACAAATAAAGGTTACATCTTATACAATAATCTTCCAAAAAAAAATGTTCAAATTTAATGTTAAATTGTCAGATCAAAAAGGGGCTATATTAAGGTTATATCTCATTAAATCATATAGAAAAAAGGACAGATCTAAGGTCACATCGGATCCAAGTATCTAGAAAAAGCGACCGATTTAAGGTCACATCTAATACAATTATCTAGAAAAATTGACTGATTATAGGTTACATCTAATATAATTATTTTTTACAAGTGGTCAGATTTTTTTATTTTTAACATCTAATACAATTATCTACAAAAAGTAGTCGAATTTATTGTAAAATATAATAAAATTAACGATTATGTGATCGATTTAAGGTAACATCTAATACAATTATCTATAAAACGTTCGAATTTAAGGTAAAATTATCAACATAGAAAGTGACTGATTAAAGGCTACATCTAATACAATTATCTATAAATAAGAGTCGAATTAATTGTAAAATGATCAATTAAGAAAGTGGCCGATTTAAGGTTACATGTTTTACAATTATCTAGAAAAAGTTACTGCTTACAGGTTACATCTAGTACAATTACCTAGAAAAAGTAGTCAAATTAAGTGTAAAATGATCAATAAAGAAAGTGGCTGATTAAAGATGACGTTTCATAAAATTATCTAGAAATGTGACCGATTCAAAGTTTCAACTAATACAATTATCTAGAAAATAGAGTGTAATTTATTGTAAGAGATAATAAAATTAACGATTAATAAGTAACCAATTGAAGGTTATATGTAATACAATTACTGATAGCAATGCTCGAATTTAATGTTAACTGTAGTAAAATTAGCAATACAGAAATTTGGCGATTTAAGGTTACATCTAATAAAATTCTCTAGAAAAAGGGACCAATAAAGGTGACATCTATTACAATTATCTTTCAAAACTGACTGACTAAAGGTTACATCTACTACAATTATCTATAAATAAGAGTCGATTTTTTTTGTAAAATGATCAATGAAGAAAGTGGCTGATTTCAGGTTACATGTAATAATTATTTATCTAGAAAAAGTGACTGCTTACAGGTTACATCTAATACAATTATCTATAAAATGTATTTAAATTTATTGTAAAATGATTAATAAAGAAAGTTGCCGATTTTAGGTCACATGTGACCGATTAAAGGTTACATTCAATCCTATCATCTATTAAAATGTTCGAATTTAATGTAAAATGTAGTAAAGTTATATATACAGAAAGTGGCCGATTTAAGGTTACATCTTATG